TTGTAGGGCTGGTTTAGTGATGAATTCCTCTAACTTTTATTGTCTGAGAAACTCCTTATCTCTACTTGTATTCGGAGTGATAGACTTGCTGGATAGAACACTCTTGATTGCAGGGTTTTTTTCTTTCAGCACTTTGAGTATATCCTGCCACTCCATTCTGGCTTGCAAAGTTTCTGCTGAAAAATCAGCTGATAACCTTACATAACAAGGTTTCCCTTGTATATAACTGTTTTCTTTTCTCTTGCTGCTTTTAAAAATTATTCTTTATCACTGCTTTTTGCTGTTTTCATTACTATGTGTTTTGGAGTGGACCTCCTTGGATTGATTTTGTTGGGGTCATTCTGTGCCTCCTGGATCTGGATTTCTGTTTCCTTCTCCAGATTCAGAAAGTTTTCAGCTATTCTTCAAATAAAACTTCTGTCCCCTTCTCTCTCCCTTTTCCTTCTGGGATCCCTATGTACAAATATTATTATGCTTGATGATGTCAGTGAGTTCTCTTAATCTGTTTTCAATTTTTCTTTATCTTTTTTCTTTCTCTTGTTCAGCTTGATTACTTTCTGTTACTCTTTCCTCCAGGTCACTGGTCTGTCTTTCTGCTTCCTCTAGTCTACTATTTATCCCATCTAGTATATTTTTAATTTCAGTTATTGAGTTCTTCATTTCTCATGGGTTCTTTTTCATGTTTTCTGTCACTTTGTTGAGGGTCTCACTGAGGTCCTCCACTCTTTTCTCATGTCCAGTGAGTATCTTTATGACCATGACTTTAAATTTTCTGTCAGACATATTACTTAGCTGTTTCATTCATCTCTCTTGCTATGATTTTGACCTGTTTCATTTGAGAGATATTCCTCTGTCTCCTCATTTTGTCTAACTCTCTGTGTTTTGTCTATGGGTTAGAAAAGTCAGCCACATCTCCTGCTCTTGAAAGTAGTGGCCTGCAGTGCAATGTCCCCTGTTCAACAGAACCTGGCACTTCAGACATGTCTCCTGTGTGTGTTAGATGGACCCTACTGTTGTGGCTGAGCAGTGTTTGCCATCAGTCTGCAATAGCTCTTTTTGCCCTATTGTGGACAGGGTTAGGTCCCTGTGTAGTTAGTGGATGAGTCTGGAGCTATATTGGGCTTGAGTTGAGTCAGACTAGGTGTTTTCCAGAGGTGTATAGCACCAAACTCTAGGGTGCTCTCCCTGTGTTGTCCCCTGTGAGGCTTTTGTTGGTGGGTGGGGCCTGCAGTCAGATCATATGCCTGCCCCCAGCAAGTTGTTCAGTATGTGTGGTTTTCTTCCCCATTTCCTCAGGGCAGGAGTCACTTTGGGGTGGTGCTGGCCCCTGTCAAGGCTGCTTGCACACTGCCATGCTTGCGGTGCTGCTTTGGATGGACTCCTGCTGAGGATATGTTGGATGAGCTGGATCTGTGGGAGAACACAAGGGCAGGGAAACCATGCTAGCAATTTCCATGCTGGTCCATTGTTGAAGTGCTATTTTGGTACCTCAAAAGTCTGCAGCTGTAAGAGAACTGGGAAGCAAAACATTTGTTATGCACAGACATTTAATTTCTTTGGGACAGAGTTACCACCACCTTTAAGTAGTTTTTTGAATGGAAAAGATCAAAAAGTCTGGCAGGAGATTCTGAGAATAGGAAGATTCTAAAAGGGTAAAGTTGCCTGGCTATTTGACTTAATGACACCTGCAAAAGTTACCATTAGATAACAGGAAAGAAGTGTCTATATCAGGAATCCATTTGATGTTTAAGTCCCTCACAGATGAAATTCTTCACTGTGGATTATTTCTCAAAAAATATGGAAATACTTCCATTCCCAGCCCAAATCTCTGCTTAAACAATTTTAGCTCCCAAGAAGCTTCTCTGCAGGGAAGGTGGTGTCAGATATAAAGCACTTATGGCAATAAGTCAGTATTACATTATTTAAATTTAAGGGATACATACATAAGTATCCTATGGGAGTTGTTCAACTATCCATTCATCCATCCTACAGTCTGTCAAATACAATGCAAAGAACAGTTTTCATAGAGTAGTGGATATGAGACTATAAAGAGCAAAGCTCGAAGTGGGTTAAGACTGATTCTCAAAATATGATCCTCAATAAGGGTACTGTGATAAGCTGCGAACATGGTCCTATTGTGTAAGTTCTTCATCCAGTTCCAGTGTAAAGTTTCATACTTCTTTACAAATAAGAACTATTTATTAGTAAATAGTAAAAGAAGAGTATAAACAGACTAATGAGATCTCTGTTTCTTTAATTGGGAATTAAAGAAATTATGCAACTTTTGACAATAAGCTTGCACAAAGGTAATAGCAGAAATTCCCAAAATTGTCAGAATCAGTGCTATGTTAGTGGTTCATGATTAAGTTTGGTTGGTGTTGATTAAGGCTTCAAGTAATGAGATGCTCAGGTTTTAGTTATAATTTTCTTTATTGTTTATTATCAGTTTATTTGGTTGTGTGTTGTTAAGGCTGCAATGTGTATTCATGCATATTTGCATCAATATTCTAGTCTGTTCTTTTTCTGTAGCTAGACTTGATCCATATCCATATGTTAAATACACTTATGTTGCTAAAGCAGTTGTACACAGCCCTCAAAATGTCTAGTAATACTTGTTTCTCATCACCCAATTTTAAAAACTGTTCCAATGAATATATTTGGAGTCATAGAGTATGGCTCCCTCTGTTGGAGCATACATATTTCCAGAGCCAAGCATAGTCTGACACATATCTGCTAATAATAAAGTAGGAGAATGCGTCATCCAAATTATTGTCCCACCAAAAAGTGGGAACTACTAGGGCAGTTGGGCTGTGAAGTACTTTTTCCAATCACATAGGTCATGTTCGAAAATTTGATCAAAAATAGGTCATGCATTAGAGCATGGTCCAGACAACTTTTAAGAAGTTTGGCTCTAAAAATAATGAAGAGAAGGAAAGCTGGTAGAGCTAAAGAAGAAAATGGGATTTCAAGGATACCCTTCCTTTGGGGAGATAGAAGAAACTTGAACACGTATAAGCTTTGAGGACAGCCATTGTCGAGCAAGAGGCTAAAGATGCAGGGTAAGGGAGAACAAAGAATGGAGCAGGGTTCCCAGAGCTGGGTCAGAAAGTCATCAAATGCACAGGAATACGGGAACTTCAATATAAAATCTATAATGACACAAAACAGTCACGAGCTACTCACTTTAATAATGTAGAACAAAGTACAAATTAAATGTTGTAGGTTTTGTGACAGTGTGTTCATTATCACTTCCAATGAACCCTTAGTAAAATCCAGCCCTACATAAAACACTAAATTTTATTTATTTTTTTCCTTAAATAGATTATTTTCAAGTTGGTTTCCAAATAACACCCAGTGCTCATCCTCACAAGTGCCCTCCCCCATGCCCATCACCCCCCTTCCCCTCTCCCCTACCAGCCCTCAGTTTGTTCTCGGCATTCAAGAGTCTCTCATGGTTTGCCTCCCTCCCTCTCCCCCACTATTTTTCCTCTTCTTCTCCCCCATGGTCCTCCGTTAAGTTCCTCCTAATCCTCCAATACATGCAAACATATGGTATCTGTCCTTCTCAGCCTGACTTTTTTCACTCAGCATAACAGCCTCAAGTTCCATCCATGTTGCCACACGTGGCCAGATTTCCTTCTTTCTCTTTGCCATGTAGTATTCCGTTGTATAGATAAACCACATCTTCTTGATCCATTCGTCCGTTGATGGACACTTAGGCTCTTTCCATGTTTTGGCTGTTGTTGAGAGTGCTGCTTTCAACATTGGGGTACATGTGCCCCTATGCATCAGCACTCCAGTATCCCTTGAGTAAATTCCTAGCAGTGCTATTGCTGGGTCATAGGAGAATTCTATTGTTAATTTTTTGAGGAACCTCCAAACTGTTTTCCAGAGGGGATGCACCAGTTTACAAACCCACCAACAGTGTAGGAGGGTGCCCGTTTCTCCACATCCTCGAAAGCATCTAGAGTATCCTGATCTGCTCATTTTAGCCACTCTGACTGGCGTGAGGTGGTATCTCAGTGCAGTTTTGATTTGTATTTCCCTGATGAAGAGGGATGCTGAGCATCGTTTCATGTGTCTGTTGGCCATCTGGATGTCCTCTTTGGAGAAGTGTCTGTTCATGTCTTCTGCCCATTTCTTCACTGGGTTGTTTGTTTTTAAGGTGTGGAGTTTGGAGAGTTCCTTATAGATTTTGGATACTAGCCCTTTATCTGATATGTCATTTGCAACTATCTTTTCCCATTCCATTGGTTGCCTATTAGTTTTATGGATTGTTTCCTTTGCCGGGCAGAAGCTTTTAATCTTGATGAGGTTCCAATGAGTTCATTTTTGCTCTTGATTCCCTTGCCTTTGGGGATGTGTCAGGTAAGAAATAGCTGCGGTTGAGGTCACGGAGGTTGTTTCCTGCTTTCTACTCTAGAGTTTTGATGGTTTTCTGTCTCACATTCAGATCCTTTATCCATTTTGAGTCTATTTTTGTGTATGGTGTGAGAAAATGATCTAGTTTTAGTCTTCTGCATGTTACTGTCCACTTCTCCCAGCACCATCTGTTAAAGATGCTGTCTTTTTTTCCATTGGATACTCTTTCCTGCTTTGTCAAAAATTAGTTGGCCATACGTTTGTGGGTCCAGTTCTGAGTTCTCAATTCTATTCCATTGGTCTATGTGTCTGATAAAACACTAAATTTTAGACTAAAAATACCAATGAATAATTTGAAAATATACAATAAAAACATCCTGCTTTATTGGGGCACCCAGGCAGCTCAGTGAGTTAAGCATCTGACACTTGTTTTTGGCTTAGGTCATGATCTCAGTTCGTGAGTTCGAGACCCATGTCAGGTTCTGCACTGTCAGATTGGAATTCTCGCTCTTTCCCTCTCTCTCTGCCTCTCCCCTGCTCACTCACTCTCTCAAAATAAATAAATAAACACTAAAAACATTGCCTGTTTTATTTTGAAGTAATATTCAAGTAGTGTTTTCTTTTTTTTTTTCCCTCAGATTGGACTCCTTCTAATCCTGAGCCTGTGTACATCCCAACAGGTCTAGAGATGGAACCCCTTTATCCAAACTCCAAGGAAGATACTGTAGTTTATTTAGCTGAAGATGGTGGGTACATAATGAAGGATGTTGGTATAAAATATAATTTGGTTCATCTCTTAATTATATTTGTTTTGCTGTTTATAATAGAAACTGTAGAATACCATGAAGTCCCTGTCGCCATCAAGATGTCTGGTTACAGGTGATTCAAATGTGGATTTAGTGCTAATTATATTCTTGAAGGTGTACTGCAGTTTATACAGAGTTGCTGTAAAAAAGACTTATTGCCCACCAGAATGGAGAGTTATATTTAAAAGGAATTATGTTCACATCAGCTTTCAAAGATAAACCCGTGGAGTACTCTGCAACTATTGACAGGTCAAGTTCATGAAATCTTTCAGATGACTTTCCTCTCATTTCATGCCAATTTGATGCATTTCTTGAAATTGCATCTTTAAAAGGGGAAAATACCCCACACTGCAAATAACATCTAAGATTATATCTCAGGAAAAGTGTTCTTAACAGTCAAGATCAATATTTGTACTTTGAGAGCTCTAGTAATGCAAACACACATATCCGCTTTACGATAGTATGCTAATAATAAAGCATCAATGTCTCAGCCTGTATGCTAAACTCTCTTGCTCCTCAAGCGCCGTGTAAGGAGGTATGGGATTCCTGCACAGTTTCACCATCAAAGATCTATATCTTAGAGAATACATTACAGATAACTTCAGGAAGCATACGTACTTTATTTAAAAGGCTGGCAAAACAAAAATGTACAAGGATTGTTTCCTTTACAGTAAGCAGTTCTAGAAATCATATCCTCACATATTTTGTAAGAACCAGAGGAAAGACAAGCATCTCTGTTTTTTTTTTTTTTAATTTCAAATATTTTCACGGCTAACCTGCCTTAGAACTTCCAAACATAACTTACATAAGATCTGATAAAATATTAAAATAGTTGAGGTGAGTCAGGGGCTTGTCACGAACTGAATAACATACTGGGAATAATTTAAGAAAGTTTAATGAAAGTATAACTTCCCAAAGTGTGGACAGAATTAAGGGAGACTCACAAGGGATGGTAAAGCAACCTTAAACTGTGAACAGAGCAAAATCATTGTGTGTCCTAGGCCTGAAAGAGTAAGAGGACAAAAGGGTTTCCAGATCTGTGGCTATAGGAAAGAGAAGTCTGCAAACAGCAGGGTGTATAGCATTCTGGGTTCATGTTATTTTTCTTCTAAAGATTTTTTTCTTTTCTTTTTAATATTTTTAAGGATGTCTTGTGACATCTTCTGTCTTAAAAATTAGCCGTAATTTTTGTCATTGTTCCCTACATATATATATATATATATATAATGTGTCTTTTTCTCTCTGGTTGTTTTCAGCATTTGGCTATGATCTGCCTTTATATTTGGATACCTTTATATTTATCTTGCTTGAAGTTTGCTGAGCTTCTTTGATCCATAGGTTTTTTATATATATATATATATATAATGTGTCTTTTTCTCTCTGGTTGTTTTCAGCATTTGGCTATGATCTGCCTTTATATTTGGATACCTTTATATTTATCTTGCTTGAAGTTTGCTGAGCTTCTTTGATCCATAGGTTTTTTTCTTATGGCTTTTTTGCTTTCCCCCCCCAAATTTGCAAACTTTTCAGCCATTATTTCTTCACATATTTTTTCTGTGTTCTTTTCTGTCCTTTGGAATTCCAATTACACATATGTTGGATTTCTAGCTATGTTCTACATGTCACTGGATCTTTTTTTCCTTCTCTGTCCTTGAGTTTGAATAATTGTATTTATTTTTAAGTTTACTGCATCTTTTGTAATATTCAATTTTTCTTAAACCCATCTAATCATTAACTTCAGTTACTGCCATTTTTATTTCAAGACTTTTCATTGGGTATTTTTTTTGTAGTTTTTCAGGGGTTTTTTGAGATTACTTAATCTGTTTAAATTTTTCAATATATATTCAGAATCCTCTGTTAATCCCAACATCTGGGTTATCTTGGGGTTTGTTGAAAAGTGTGTGTGTGTGTGTGTGTGTGTGTGTGTGTCTGTGTATGACCATGGATCATATTTTTCCTGCTTTTCTTCGTGTTTCATAGTTTTTCCAAATCATATGCAGGACATTGTGAAAATATGTCGTAGGAGTCTGTATTATGTTCTTTTTAAAAATTATGCCACTTTTGCTCTGGTAGGCAGTTAAATTGCTGGCAGATCGTTTTGCTTCTTTCAGGCTTGGTTTTATTTTTGTAAGGGCAAAATTTTTATTTTGTCTTAGTCCTTCATTTAGTCCTAGGTCATGGTCCTTACCCTTGGATGTGGTCTTTATGCCTACTATGCAGCCTTTCTTGAGTCATGATTGAATGCCTGAGGTACTCAATGACGTCTTTCCACTCTGGATAGGTCAGAAGTACAGTATGTTCTAGAATTGCATGCCTGATATCTCAGCACCACAGTAGCATTCTCCTGTCTTACTGGGTCTTACCCTGTGCTTATCCAGCCAAGCCCTGTCATAGACCAGGGAACCACCATATAGACTGTTGAGCCCCTCCATCTATGTACCTTTCCTCTCTCTGGTGTCCTGTCTCATAAATTTCAGTAGCCCCAAGCAACAATCTTGCCTCTTCCGCTCAGCTATTCTTAAGTGCCACCTTCTTAGGGTGTAGTCAGAAAGTATTCTCAGGAAGAAAGCCAGGGTTAAACACAGGCTTACTTCATGTATTTATCTTCTTTGAACTATTCTTATAGTTGTAGTCTGTGTGTTATCAAATATATGGAAATAGCTCATTTTTTGGTCCAGCTTTATATTTATAGTGAATGGGAAAGTTTAGGACCAATTACTCCATAATAATTAGAAGTGGGATAAATACTTTTAATGTGAGAAATACATGAATTTATTTTGGGCATTGCTTTTCTAGTCTGAATACTATTAGACTTTTACTTCAACAAATCTGTATGTTAGTGTCAAATTGCTTTAAAATTTTAAATCCTTAGCGACACTTTCATTATACTGTGGCTCCAAACTCTATGCAGAATAATCTGTATACTTTAGACATGGGTTGATACCTTTATGGTCTTCTTCTGTCATCAGCTTACAAGGAGCCCTGTTTTGTGTATTCCCGCGTAGGGGGCAGCCGAACACCCCTGAAGCAACCTGTGGATAACTATGACAATACTTTGATGTTTGAAGCAAGATTTGAGAGTGGAAATCTACAGAAGGTAGTCAAAGTGTAGGTTTTAATTATTTTTATTTGAGGAGCTGGACCTTCAACTATTTATTATTTTCTGTATTACGTACGGTAAAGTTTTAGTATCTTGAAGTATAGATACCAATTAGAGATTATTGTGAAGGGGGTATGAAAGGTTCAAATTCTGGATTCAAATACTGTGAACTTAAGCAGGTTTCTGTACTGTACATTTTTAATATGCCAGTATGAATTGTCATACACACAGACACACTCACACTGCTTCTCATATTTTTACTGGAATAGTGTTTGGGATGAGTGTTCTATAAAATATGTTTGGGAACATGCATGCTATCCAAGGACATTCTTTTAAAAAAATTTTACTAGGAAAAGATTTAAATGCAGAAAATAATACAGTTCTCTATTAACCATCATATACCCATGACCTAGATTCAACAGCTCTGGTTTTACATCCTTTATTTCACCTATGCCTCACTCACACACATACACATAGTAAGTACATAGTTCTGACAGAATAGAAGGTTACTTGGTGAAGAAGAAGTCACAAACAACCAGTAAGATTGTGTGTGGTGTGTGTGTATAAAACAAATGTTCCAGTAAAATGATTTTTACCTTTATTTAAGTATCCTCAGGGACTAAGTATGGGGGATGCAAATAGTTACCAAATACAGTCCTTAAAGAGTTTCAAATTTCTTGATGTATGTGGTTGTGTTAATTTATATGTTTTAAACCTTTCTCAGTGATAGTATTTCAGATCCCTAGGGTTTGATTCTAACAGAAAACAGGAATATATATCTGAAATAAAAAAAGAAACACTGGACTTTAATTCATTTTTAAGATTTCTTTAATCACTTTTTTATAGGAAATGTAATTGAGATGAAATACAGGATTTTATATCACATGCATATCTCTTGAATTACAAAGAAATAAAAAGGCTTTAGAGAATTAGCATAGAAGCAATTTCATATCCAATAAGAGAGAACATTTCAAAACTTTTATCTTTTACAGTTACTTGCTATTGGATGCTGCCTAAATAGTTTCAGGAAAAAAGGCTCTCAGTGAATAGGTAAAAGTAAAATAATTTTCCTTATGTAATTTAAATTTGAATGTCATTTTTACATGTTTTTTTCCTTCCTTTTTGTGTATTAGGGCAGAATATGAATACCAGTTGACTGTGCGCCCTGACCTCTTCACAAATAAACACACCCAATGGTACTATTTCCAAGTCACTAATACTCAAGCAGGAATAGTCTACAGATTCACTATAATCAATTTCACTAAGCCTGCTAGTCTTTACAGTCGGGGTATGCGCCCACTGTTTTATTCTGAAAAAGAGGCCGAGGCTCATAATATTGGCTGGCAGAGAATAGGAGACCAAATCAAGTATTATAGGAACAACCAGGGACAAGATGGACGCCATTATTTCTCTCTTACATGGACATTTCAATTTCCACACAACAAAGACACCTGCTACTTTGCTCACTGCTATCCGTATACTTACACCAACCTGCAAGAGTACCTGTCTCGTATCAATAATGACTCAGTACGGTCAAAGTTTTGTAACATACGTGTCTTGTGCCACACAATTGCTAGGAACATGGTGTATGTTTTAACAATCACTACTCCCTTGAAGAACACAGACTCAAAAAAGCGAAAGGCCGTGATTTTGACTGCAAGGGTACATCCAGGAGAAACCAACAGCTCTTGGATCATGAAAGGCTTCCTAGATTATATTTTAGGAGACTCAAGTGATGCACAGTTGCTTCGGGACACTTTCATCTTCAAGGTGGTACCTATGCTGAATCCAGATGGTGTGATTGTGGGAAATTATCGTTGTTCCTTAGCCGGACGAGATTTAAACCGTAACTACACATCTGTCCTAAAGGAATCATTTCCTTCTGTTTGGTATACGAGGAACATGATCCATAGGTAAGATAAGCTTCATATTACCTCTCTACTTAGTAAACTTGGTAGTGAGAACTTTGTTACCACAATCCCACTCATTTTACTCTAGCTTTTCTTAAGACAGTTTAACTAATTGTTTAACTACAGATACTTTCCTCCATTCTTTCCTCTCTTCTTTCTGGCATTATGCCATTGGATTCACCAGCCTTTTCTTAAATAATGGATACATTTTTAGAACATTTTAGTGGCTCTGTGAAACTAACAATTAAATTTGCATATCCCAAGTCTGGTTTCTTGCTAAAGGTAAAGGTAGCACTGATGTTTACTTTGGGACGCTTGAATCCCTTATATGTGAAAAATAATTATATGTCATAGGGCATCCTGGCACCACATTGATCATACATTGCTCTTTGATGAGCCTTTTTTTATTAAGTTTTTTAATTCCAGTGTAGTTAACATATGATACTAGCTTAGGTGTACAATATAGTGACTCAGCAATTCTATACATTACTCAGTGCTAATCATGATAAGTGTACTCTTTACTATGATAAGTGTTTTGACCATCAGGTTACATAGTTATTGAAATTTTGATGAATGATAGTGCTTTTCCCCCCAGGAAAAAAAAAAACAGCTTTAAGTTTTCCAGAGAATCCAGAATAGTAAATGCACATAGTATTTAAATATTTGTTGAATGGGTGAATTCTTTAATAGATTCAGGCAGTAACAATCAGGAATAGGCATGTGCTAGAGCAGAAAGATTTACTGGAGTCAAACAACCCCATTCCAAGTCCAAAGCCTCTTAACTTTTTTGGTTAAGAGTGTAGAATGGAGATAAAATATCAGATTGGAGTCCTGGTATATCATTTGCTGTGTGGCCTTGAGCAATTTAAAAATAAATCTAAAGCTCGGTTTTCTCATCTATAAAGTGGTAACAATAATACTTCATAGGCAGGAGGATTGAGAGTATTATCAAATAAAGTGCCTGAAAAAAAAATACAGAACATTGAAAGATATAAGTGTTTTTAGTGTGAGCTCAGATATAAAAAGGAAAAAATTGTTAATCAGATACAAATGTAAAAACTCTTTGTAAACTGTTTAGGATTATTGAAATACAATAGTAAGTACTATTATAGAGAGTGTATATATCCTCATCCCACTTTGTTAGGGCTCCTAGTGCAGGTACAAGAACCGTGTGAAGGCTGAGGACCTCACGTGTACCTCCAGTCCATCAGAGGAGCTGACAGGCTCAGGATGGCCCCCGTTATCTCCGTTCAGCCTCAGCTTCAACTTGCACTTCCATGCTAATCTTTTCATCTGCTAGGCACAAAGGGATTGAGGTGCAGATCGCCACCAAAAGGACCGAAAACTGTTTTTATACCCCTCACAGATAGGTCTCCAGGGTGCCCTGCACTTATCTGAGAAAAAAAAAATAACCCATGATGTCCTTTGTTTCCTGGGGATAACTAACAGTAAAAAGAGAGCTAAGTGCAGTGTGATGACCCTGATTGGATTCTGGGACAGAAAAGACATCTGTGGCAAAACCAGTGAAATCCGATAAGGTTGGGAGTTTAGTTACTAGTAGTGTACCACTGTTGGTTTCGGTTTGAACGCGGTACCACGGTTATGTAATATGTTAACATTAGGGGGAAATGGACAAGGGGTATGTGGAAACACTACTATTTTTGCAAATTTTGGGTAATCTAAAATTATTCTAAAATTTAAAAAAATAATAAGAAAGGATGCTGATTAGAATATCTATAATGTCTGCTTAGTGCTCTTTGACATGAAGGGTCCCTGGTCCAACACCAGATGGATTATAGGCCAAGGCCCTTTGGCTTGTCTCTGTAGAAAATACTTTAAATGTCTTAGTTCTTCTCGGATTGACATGTAAGAAGGTTAAGGCAGGAATCTACTCATTAAGTTTCAGAAAGACTTCCAAGAAGGAAAACTACCTCATTGCAATTGATCATAGGTACGTAGAATAAGCCCCACATATTTTGGGAAGGCAAGCAGCTATAAATATATCTAAGATTTAGTGTATTTAAAGAAAATGAGAATAAGAGACAGTAATTTTTAGTATAGGATACTTAGTACAAGATACTTAGAGTATCTTGACCTGTGGGTAAAAAAAAGATCTAAGCTGTTTCTCAAGTGATTTTAAATTCATGTAAAATTTAGAGTGACCCTTCCGAAGTAATGACATATCTTTGAGAATTACTTAGAAGTCTGTTTTAACTTACATATAAGAAACTGAAATGTCATTAAAACTGGGGAAATGTTGACTTAAAAATGTTCAATATTTCATATTTAAGGCCCTAACTTGATATTCTTGCTTTATAATCTACTTAGTTTTCTAAAAACTTGTAATGGTCATTTAGTGGCTGTCTAACATTATCAGAATTTATTGGACACATTATCAGAATTTATTGGACACCAAATGAGAAAAGGGCAATCAGTTAATACATGTAACAGACTTCACTTTGGAATTTCACTATAGTTTAAAGGAGTATTGTTGATAATATAAGCTATGTTTTGAATGCTTTGATTTTAGGTTTTAATATTTTTATAAAAGTAATACATTTCATATTACTATAAATACTAGTACTAACATTTTTTACTTACCCTTCCAGATATTCTTGTATATGTGATTTTGGCTATTTAAGTAATAGAACACTATATAAAGTTTAGACATATGGGGAGAGGAAGCAAAAAAATGCCCATCCTACCATCTTAACACCACTTTGTTTTTTTTTACCTTTTTAAAGCCTCTCCATTAGTTATTTTCATCAGTCAGTTTGGGGGGGGTCTTATTTTTATTGCTTTAGTAATTCATTCAGTGGCAAGTTTTACAAGCCATAGATTGTGCCCTTAAGAAATGTGTAATAATTCCTTTATGTATTAAAAATTTACCAGAAAGGGACCCCTGGGTGGCTCAGTTGGTTGGGTGGCCAACTTTGGCTCAGGTCATGATCTTACAGTTTGTGAATTCAAGCCTCACATTGGGCTCTGTGCTGACGGTTCAGAACCTGGAGCCTGCTTCAGATTCTGTGTCTCCTTGTCTCTCTGACCTTCTCTTGCTTGCACTCTGTGTCTCTCTCTCTCTCAAAAATAAACAAACATTTTTAAAAATCTTTAAAAATTTACCAGAAAGAAAATTCAAACTTCGGTACCATTTTTCTCAAAATGATATTTACCATTTTAATCAAGGGTTATATAATAATTGGCTTTAGCACCAAGTTTTCAGGTACTCAGTTTTTAACAAATATTTGAGAACTTGTGCACATAGTACTGTTCTAGATGATTTGAAGCATTTCTTACCCATAAGTAGAGTAAATATCAAAAATATGAAAACTTTCCAAGGCAAGTGTCAAGTAAATGGTACCAATATTATGTGCTTAGGTCAACCAGACAGAAAATCACTAAAGAAATAATGGACATGCTACAGAAATTTAAAAAATATATATATGACCTTGACTAATCAGGAAGTGAGACATGAAGTCAGCCTGGAGGGGCAGTATTTGCACTCACAGAGATGAAGAAAGAAGGTATTCTAGTCAGAAGGAATCTCTGTGAAAGCTAATGGGCAGAGCTAGGAGTGAGCTGTTTTCTGTGTGCAAGGGAAAACCAGAATAATAAAGCAGAGGGATACGGTGAAGAGTCTTGGGTGAAAGGTAAATTTTATCCTTAAAATGGAATGTAAACATTCATATTTTATATATGTATATAGTTAACAGGAAATTACAATAGATGTTTTTTTTTTTTTTAATGTTTTATTTATTTCTAAGAGAGAGAGAGCGTGAGCAGGGGAGGGTCAGAGAGAGAGGGAGTCACAGACTGAAACAGGCTCCAGGCTCTGAGCTGGCAGTCAGCACAGAGCCCGACACAGGGCTCAAACCCACGAACCGCGAGATCCTGACCTAAGCGAAAGTCGGACGCTTAACCGACTAAGCCACCCAGGTGCCCCAAGATGTTTTAAAATTTAAATAATGTGCAGTATAAATAAGAGAAAGAAGTCGAAAGCAAGGATATAAGAAATTCTGTTTATTTGCATATTAGACTTGCAAATCCATAGTTACACCCAGAGAAGAAAAATGCAGAGGTGAAATTTAATAATTTAGCTTTTTTTTTTTTTTCTTGGTAGATTAATGGAGAAACGAGAGGTTATTTTATATTGTGACCTTCATGGCCATAGTACGAAAGAGAACATCTTCATGTATGGTTGTGATGGTAGTGATAAATGTAAAGCATTATACTTACAGCAACGAATCTTTCCACTTATGCTGAGCAAAAATTGTCCAGATAAAGTAAGTACCATTTAAGATTTTTATTACATGTTGCTCGTGTGAGACTGCAGAATAGATCACCTTAGTAAACTTAGTTATTTTGACTTGTTTATACAACTGGCCATAAAAAAGGAACTATATGGAATATTTAATTTGACATGTGAAGAAAAAAATGAGCCTTGTCCTTCCACCTTAACGGTAAAAGATGTTTTCCTCATACGGTCGGGAACAAGGCCGGGATAGCCAGCCTTACCCCTTCAGTGCAGACTTGTACTGGAGGTTCTAAGTGCTGACAGGCAAGAGAAAGAAAAGGCAGACACTTTGGGAAGAAACAGGTAATACAGATGACACAGTTGTCTTCATAGAAAATCCAAAGCAATCCACAAAAAAAGTCCTAGGGTAAGTGAGTTTAGCAATGTCCTGCATGACAAAGTCCACCCATAAAAACCATTTAACGTTTCTATAGACTCACGCCGAACACTTGGAAACCACAACTGAAAATGCTATCATTTACTGTGGCTTCAGAATAACTTAAATACTTGTGAATATAAAGGAATGATACAAGGGAGATTTTTAGAGGTGATGGCATTGACATAGGTTCACTTTTATTGTAAATAAAAAAATAAAATTACAAAAACTTTTTTTACTAAAACATTTTGTAAATATAACAATATTTCAGGATAGCTTTCTAGTGATCAGTCTTGCAAAAATAAAGCATCCTTATTCTATTCAAAAAATCTACGTTAGTCAGGAGCACCTGGGTAGCTCAGTCAATTGAGCCTCCCACTGTGTCTCAGGTCATGGTCTTGTGATTTGTGGGTTTGAGCCCCACATTGGGCTCTGTGCTGACAGCTCAGAGCCTGGAGCCTGCTTCAGATTCTGTATCTCCCTCTCTCTCTGACCCTCCCCTGCTCACACTGTCTCTCTCAAAAATAAACATTAAAAATTTTTTTTTAATCTTTACTCCTAAACATATTTAAGCCCTTTCCTATAAGGTTTTTAAAGTATAAGATCTTATCCCAACGGTATCAAGAATTAACAGGTTTTGAATGTATATGTTATAGATTAAAATTTATTACCAGCATTCAAATCTGTAGTCCTCAGAAATGTAAATGTCATCCTTAAAATGAGTTATTTCCACTGGTTAGGAAATAAAAGCCTGTGAAACTTGAGAATTACTGCTTTTGCACTACTTCCTCCTTTTCAACCCTACTTCCTGAGAAAGACATTGTACTCAGAAAAACATATTTTTCTCATTTTTGCTTATTTTTAGTTTTCATTCTCAGCTTGCAAGTTTAATGTTCAGAAGAGCAAAGAGGGAACAGGAAGGGTAGTAATGTGGAAAATGGGAATCAGGAACAGCTTTACCATGGAGGCTACTTTTTGTGGATCTACCCTGGGTAAGACCAAGTGTTCTCCATAGCTCTCAGAGCTTCACACCAAAGGGACGTTTTTAATGTAAGATTAAGAGTGTAGACAAGTTGATAGTGAGCACTTTATTCCTACTTAGATACATCCTGGTGTCCAATCAGTTCTCTAAACAGGATGAATAAACTTTATCTCCATCTCATCAGTTCCCTTTGTTTAAAAAAGGAAGTTTTAGCATATAGATAAAATACCTAATTGGTTATTTGATTGTTTTTGACTTGTTTTAAGAAAGAGTCCTTGTAGATGACTCGTGATTGCAAGAAAAAGCGATGCTCCTACTTAAAATACCAGGATAGAAAGGTTTTTAGTGGATTTGCTATTTGCAAGGCAAAATAGACTGGGTTTGTTGGGAGTTCTTTGGGGGGGCTAATTTATATATTAATGGAAGCACTTGGTTCCTTTAAAAATAAAAGTGTGCTTGGGTGCCTGGGTGCCTCAGTCAGTTAAGCATCTGACTTTGACTCAGGTCAGGATCTTGCGTGAGTTCAAGTGAATTCAAGCCCTGCATTGGGCTCTGTGCTGGCAGTGGAGAACCTGGAGCCTGCTTCAGAATCTGTCTCCCTCTCCCTCTGCCCCTCCCCATCTTGTGCTGTCTGTCTGTCTGTCTCGGTCTCTCAAAAATAAACAATAAAAAAACTTAAAGTGTGCTCTGTAGTTACATTTAAGAAATCTTTTGGTTTACCCTTAGAATACTCCATATTAAGAAAATGGTTACATTTTTAGAAAATTTATTGACTCAAAGGAAAGTGCTGATGATGATGAAAACATTAAAATATTTACCCAAGCTTGTCTCTGATTATGAGCATGTTTATAACTGGTAACCAAGCATTCCACATGTTCTTACTAAATTTTCTTTCACCCTACAACATCACCTAATATGTGTTAAGTCAGCTTTGATCCAGGTGTGGAGAGGGAATGAGGGAAAGCAATAAGCTGTTAAATGATCTGCCCTGGAGAAGCAAATCAAAAGGACAGGAGATGGAATCTGATCAGAGGTTTTATTTATATTCTGTGTTTTAGAACTTAAGCCTGCCCCTTAAGGACAAATGATTAACCCATCCTCAATGGTGGATAAACTGATTGGTGTTTTAGGTAATAAACGAGGTACTCATTTCAACACAAAAGACTTGGAGTCAATGGGATATCATTTTTGTGATTCTCTTTTGGACTATTGTGATCCAGACCGAACCAAGGTAAGCAGAGCCCATTTGGTAATGCTTCAAACTCCAGTTTATCAGATAACATAACCTAACTGAGGGCCTATGGCAGTTTCTTCCTTTTACTGTGTCAACAGTGCTTGGGGTTTTTGGTACTTGATGTCCTCATAGTAGTTGTTCTAGGTATCTATAAGTATTCAATTATTTTAATTAGGAAATAAAATTATTTTATAATTAAACATTTTCCCCTAGTATTATCAGTGTCTGAAAGAATTGGAAGAGATGGAAAAACCTATAAATTTGGAAAAAGTTCTTGAGGATTCAGATACTTCTCTGAAAGAAATTACATTGGATCTAGAGTCTGGGTAAGTCAAGATAGTCTTTATAATAATTATAGGATATAAAATTATCAGTCTCAACTGAAAATCCCAACTATAGATAGAGGGGAGAGAGAGAGAGTATGAGTGGGGAATGGAGAGAGAGACACAGAATCCAAAGCAGGCTCAGGCTCTGAGCTGTCAGCACAGAGCCAGCCGTGGGGCTCGAATTCACGAGCTGTGAGATCATGACCCGAGCTGAAGTTGGACGCTTAACCAACTGAGTCATCTGGGTGCCTCATAAACATTCTTGTAATTAGAACCATTTCTACCATTCCAATAAGATAATAGAATAAAAGTAACAGTTGAAATTTTAAAATGCCACCAAAGTATTGTTTTAATATTTATATGTAATAAAGTAATTGTAAATATAAAGTGTAAATATAATTAAAAGTTATTATATCAAAGTTTTTTTTTTGTAGTAGCCGAGGCTCTGACAGTTCAGAATCCAATGAGTCTCAGACTTGCCTTCTCAAAATAACTTCTCAGGTATGACTGAAAATTTCTGCCTATGGTTTGGGTACTCTTCTCATTGTGACTAATAAGGCAAAAAAAATTGCTTGCCATTGCATAATTATTGTATAGCAGTAATTTTTATTTTCTGATTATGTAACATATCTTTAAATCATAGAATTTCCTAACCTTAGGATTCTTAACACCCTTACTTTAAAGGTCCAGATAGATTGCATTACTTCTCAGAAGCCACACCATTTGTTAATGAGAATTGGTATCATAACATACATCCCATGCCTGCAAATCCACTGTTCATTTGAAAATATAATGCCCAATATGATGGTACTGGAAGGTGAGCCCTATGGGAAGTGATTAGGTCATGAGGCAGAGCCCTCTGGATTAGTGCCTTATAAAAGAGCTCCAGAGACATCCCTAGCCCCTTCTACCATACGAGGATACAAATGAGAGGTCAGCATCCCACAAGAGAGTGCTCACCTAACCATACTGGCACTTGACCTCCACCTTCCACCCTGAAGAACTAGGAGAAATAAATTTCTATTTTTTAGCCATGCAGTCTGTGGTATTTTGTTATAGCAGCTAAAATGGAGTGAAATAGATGCTCGTTAGTTTTCTATCGCGAAGCAACAAATTTCACCAAGCAGCAGCTTAAAACAATGGATACTTATTTTCATGCCATTTCCATGAGAGAGAGATTCATGAGTGGCTTCACTAGGTGCTTCTGTCTGAGGTCTCTCAAAAGGCTGCAGTGAAGGTGTTGGTCAGGTGGTCTCGTTTGAAGACATGACTGAGAAAGGATCCACTTTTAAGCTCACTTACATGATTGTTGACAAAATTCAGTTCTTCACAGGCTGTTGGGCTCAAGACCTCAGTATTGCCCAAATGGGCTGTTAGCCTTAAGTATCATATCATTGCCAAATCCATTGTTGTGATGTTTTGTCCTAGGTTTTCTTCTAAGAGCGCTATCCTTTTGGGTCTTGCATTTAGGTCCTTGAACTATTTTGAGTTACTTTTTGTATTTGTTTTGAGGTAAGTGTCCCAACTTCATTCTTTTGCAAGTGGCGTTCCAGTTTTCTGAGCACCATTGTTGAAAAGACTGTCATTTCCCCCATTGAATGGTCTTGGCACCCTTGTCAAAAATCATTTGACTGTATATGCAAGGATTTCTTTATGGGCTCTCTATTCTTTTTCTTTTCTTTGAGCTTATGGCTATTTTTATGCCACACTGTTTTGATGACTGTAGCTTTGTAGTAAATTTTGAAATCAAAGTATGAGCCCTCCAATTTTGTTTTTTTTTTTTTCCTAGATTATTTTGGCTATTTGGGATCCTTGAATATTAGGATGGATTTTTCTATTTCTGCAAAAAAAAAAAATGTTATTGGGATTTTGATGGGGATTGCACTGAATCCATAGATTGCTTTGGGTAATATTGATATGCTTTCATTTATTTATGTCTTCTTTAATTCCTCTCAGCAATGTTTTGTAGTTTTCACTGTAGTTTTTTGTACAAGGTGAAGTTTTCTTTCACCTTCTTGGTTAATTCCTAAGTATTTTATTCTTTTTGATACTATTGTACATGGGATTGCTTTTGTAATTTCCTTTTCAAATTGTTCTCTAATTGTGTATAAAAATGCACTTGATTTTTGTGTGGTGACTTTGTATCCTGCTACATTGCTGACTTAATTTATTAGTTCAAAACAGGAAGCAAAAGTACTTTATCTTCCTAGAAGTGGAAGTCTTAGGATAGTTTTATGTGCACATATATACCATTTTTGATGTGTTGATTAAATATAGATTTCAAATGTGATTCTTTTACTTAGATAACAAACAAGAAAAAACACCTGAAAACAAAGAAGGAAAGAAATTCTACCATAGCAAGTCATCAAAACACCAGAGAAGAGCAAGAGGTATTCATTGAACTGGTTATTAATACTTTTTGAAAAATGGTTGCAAGAGAATGGCAAAGTCTTGCCTGTTACACTTTCTATACCCTAATTTTTTCCCTGGGAAAAGTTAGTGATTAAAACTTTGCTTATATTATTTGCCGTTTATAAAAATACAAAAGAACCTTGACAGATGAGAAGTGGATTTTATTAATAGGTGCTATACTTAAGTTTCATTTTTTACTTACCTTACTCTGAAAAGTATTTGAGGTATCTTATAAAGCTACATCTAGGATATTAAGAAGAAATAAGATTAAGAAAAATTAAATGGCAATACAAGAGTGTAAGAATAGATGGTATTGAGAGACTGACTTCTACCGTAACAGCATGAGGAGCTCTGCAAATCCATTCATCTAGCAAAAACTGCAGTTGTTTTAACTGATATTAAAAACAAAACAACCATCGCCCTAAGGGCAAAGAGCAAATGAAAACCATTTATTTATGAAAAATTCCTGAAATTTAATAAAAACAGCAAGAGCTGATAGTATTTGAAGCAGTATTCCTTCCTCCCCCTCACAGTTGAGGGAGACTGAAACTCCACTCCAGACCAGCACAGCCAAGGACACAGAGCCCCCCCTCTCTCCACTCATGCGCCAGAGGGCTGTCGCCCCAAGAAGGGCAGGGCATCAGCAGTTCTTGCCCTGCCTGCAGCTTCCTGTTGCTGGGCCAAGCTCCAGGTGAGTGCAGACAAGAGGCGCGGCTCCCTTCTTCTAACCAGGCTCCCTTTAGGAGATAGATATTCTGCCTGGGGTGCCACGTTACCCAGAACGTTGTGGCCCTTAGTCACCCTTGCCTCAGCTTGGTGAGAGAGGCAAATAGAGAAGACCAGAGACTGCTGCCCTCTTCCCGCCTACAGCTCAGCTCCTAAAGTGGGTGTCACTGACAGAAGAGTGACATCGTCCCCACCCCCAGCTCCGACACAGGTCAGAGATTTTGCCTTTGGGGAGAACCAGACAAAAACAGATAGCTTTTAAGAACTTTTTATTTTGAAATATTCTCGGTGTGGGAGCTCTGCTGCATCCACGACTTCTCCGTTAACATCTTGCGTGTGTTAGGATACCATAGCGATGGCATAAAACTGAGGTTGATCTAATCCACAGAGATTCAGATTTTATCAGTATGCATGCACTCGTTTGTGTGCAGTATTGCTCATAAATTTTGAATTCTAGTCTTCAAAGCTCATTGTTAGAGTAATATCACATATTTTTATATTGATATCTGCTTTCTTGTTTGTAAATTGTGCAACCGAAGCAATGTGAGTATGCTTGGGAGAGGGCCAAGATTATAAAAAAGTTTTTGGTAAACAAACTCTCTAATTGATCTCAGTGTGTTAAGTCATTTGCAGAACTCAGTAACCAAAGCAGATTTTGTTTGGGGGATTGTTATTTATCGTTTTGTATGTAGATTTTCTCACACATATTTATTTACTCCGCATAAATGTCTCCACATAGTGGTTTTTCTCCTCTACCCAAGCTATATTCCAGGTAAAATATAGTAAATTCCTTTTTATTAAATATTTATGTATTCTCCTCTTTGTTGACTGGAGCTTCAAAATTTAGACACCATAATCTATATTTAATGTTAGATTTTCCAGATGGAAAACAATCATCATTTTGGTTATTTGAAAAGCTGCATACATAAGTACTCTTATAAACTAATAGGAGTTCTTAGCCATTGGTCTTGAAATTCATTTTAATAATTTTTGGCAAAAAGAGTGAACGGTGTCAACTTAGTTTAATGCCTGAGGACAGCCTAAATTCATGCTCTGAATTGTTTGTTTGTTAAGACATCCATACATCCTGAAAATAATACTTGGAAGTTATTTTTAAAGTATTTTAGTTAAACTTTAGTTACTACCTGGACATTCTCAATAATTGATTTGGAGACTTGAGCAGAAACAAACAACTATAGATTACTGTGGTTAGAATTGGGAGATCATGTTCATAAGGACACTGGCCTGGTGATTTTCTGTAGGATGAATGGAATAGAATAGTTTATAATAGCTTACAACATCATTTCAATCAAAGAAGTGGGCTAAAAATGATGTTGATTTCATCAAGTCTTATCACAAGTGAATTTCTCCAACCTAATTTCATATCTTGTCTCTCAAAATTCTGATTATATAGGTTTGCTACTTTTAACTTTGTGTAATTTTTTCTAGAATATTTCCTTTCTCTCTGCCTTCAATAATCAAGTTTTTATTTTTAAACTTTCCTCTCATTTTAAAAAAAAATTTTAATGTTTTATTTATTTCTGAGAGGAAGAGAAACAGCGTGAGCAGGGGAGGGTCAGAGAGAGAGGGAGACACAGAATCTGAAATATGCTTCAGGCTTTGAGCGAGCTGTCAGCACAGAGCCAGACGTGGGGCTCGAACCCACGAACCGTGAGATCATGACCTGAGCAGAAGTCGGACGCTTAACTGACTGAGCCACCCAGGGGCCCCTCCTCTCATTTTTTATAATGATTCTATCCAGTTTTTTGCTGCCGATACAATCTATAAAAAAGGGGATTTTAGTTTTTAACTATTCCATAGTCCACTTTTCTTCCTGAATTGATATGCATAACATGTTGGCAAAAAAAAAAATATTGATGTTCTCGGGGGGTTTCCCCTTCCTACGCCCTTTTGCAAAATTCTCTATAATATCCACAGATGCAGAAACAAAAGTTTGGAAACTTTTTAAACAAAAGCTTAAAGTGTTTTCATGGTTACATGATTTGTAGACTATTGAAGATTAGCTGTTATAATTACATAGTGTTTTGTCTCATTTAATGTACCTGGTCATTACAGGCAATTCTTTTTTCAAGGTAGAAAATATCATGTGTATGTTCTTCCTTACTATGGACTTTCTACAAAATATTTTTTATATAAGCACAGTTTTGTAATCAATTACACATTTTCATATAATTTTATATATTTTAACTCATTTCATATTATCTTCCTACATCTTTATTTTTATTTAAATAAGTGAGACTGTAACCATACATTTTTTGTCTCTTTCTCATTGTAAATAAATTCTATATGAAGTGAAAAAAATTTTTAACTCCCTTTAGTGCCAAAACACCGTATCAATATTTTCTTCTACTCATTGCTGCAGGAGAAAAGTAGTGTTATGAAAGGTATTAGGAGGTTCTGACTTAAGAGATATTTTTGTCCATTCTAAATCCTATGAAGATAAAATGAGAAATGTTGCAAACTACTATGCCAAAGATGATATAGGGAATATACTTCCTTTTCATGTTTATAACATATTGTTTTCCTTCTGGTTCTGTGTTCCATTAGGTGTGTGATAAAGGACATTTAGTGCAAAGACACAAACAATCAAATTCCGATGTGAAAGGTAATGTTCTGTTTCTACTCTCTCTAAACAATTAATGCATTTATTCCACGCTTTTGTGCTACAACTTTGAGGTTCCCACTGTGCTTGGTGCTAGGGATATTAAGTGGTATCCTATGCCATTTCTTACCCCAGGAGCTCATCTCTTAATAGGGAGAGAAAAACAAGTGAACAAATGAAGTGCAGTATTCTAGGTATAATGCGAGTAGTCTAGCCAGGGCTCCAAGAGAGCACAAAGGATGGAAAGTTGGAGTGAGCGGGCCCTGTACTTGAGGGATCTCTCTGATTTGAGAGATTTTTTTTCCCCAAACAGAATATAGATTTTGTTTTAAAAACCATCTTGTTCCTCTCATTTTATAACTTAATAGAGGATGAAAACAGGAGAGAAATAAAATTATGGACTATTCATTTGCTTTTACTGGAATCTGCTAAGTTGCATATAAATTTGTTTCAGATGACCTAATTAAAAATTTATATATACCTGTATCTGTATCCATGTATACATATCCATTTAGCTTATGATCTAGCAGGCTGATTAGAAGTGGAAATAAGAACCACACCAAGGAAAGGGGAAAATTCTACTATCACTAATGTGGTTAATTGATTTGAACTTTACTCTTTCTCATAGTGATCATCCAAGCAAATCACTTTTATATATAACTTTAATATATTCCTCTATTGAAAATTTAATATCAAAAATTAGAACTGAAAAGCGTATTTTACAATACTTATTTTAGATCTTTTTCTACATCTGTGCACATACACTCCATATTAATCTCAGAATGTCCATGTTGGTGTGCAATCTACATTTTCATTTAAAATCGAAGTATATTATAAACTTCTTTACATGTTAATAAATGGTGGCAAAGTATTCCATTGTATTGGTGAACCTTTATTTAGCCACCTCTATTGTTAAACTTTTTTTGCTTACATTTTTTTCTATTACAAACAATAATGAAGACCTTATAACTCTGTATTTGTGTATATTCTTACTTATTTATACTAGACTCCTAGAAAAGAATTGCTGACCTAAAGAGTAGGGATACTTTTTTAGAGTTTAATAATAAATAGCAAAAATGCAGCAAAAATTCATAATACTTGAGAGCTGTGTTAATTAACTGAGCTAAGCTCTTTATGTTATCTTCTAGGCTTTTTGTTTAGAAAAAGATAAAAAATAGGAAGTGTAAAAGACTCCAGAAATTATTTTCATGCTACAAATGGTCTTTTATCATCTTTTTTAGCTACAAACCCAGATGTATCAGATGACTATATATTTGATTATTTCGGAAGACCATTCCCTAATCGAGGTTTAGGTGAGTAAAATAGGAATAGAGACAATAATGAGTGCTCACATATTATCTACATGTGAGCTTTTTAAGTAGTTTACCCAGTTGTATAGTTCATTCCATTGCTAGAGACCTATAGCATTGAGAACATCCTTTTTCTGTGAAGCTAAAAACATGTGTCCCTCTACCTCTTTAATTACACAAAACAAAAAGTGAACCTTAAAGGTATTTCTGACTGACTCATTTTCTGATTCTCCTTGAAAAACGCAATGCTGCTTCCATATGGTAGATGTTAAGTATTTTTTTTAAAGCAATCATTTATTTTCTTGAAACTTCCCTTACATTTCTTTCAACCATCCACACTATAGCATGATTCAAGTCCTTTACCCCCTGATGTTATTCTTTCCTGTCACTGTTCAAGCTTGAATGAAGCTGAACCCAGCATTGTAGATGCCAGCTACTGAGTGTACAATAAATCATCACTTTCATTTGCTTCTTTCTATGTCCTAGATTTCCATTAATGTGGTCTAAGGTTGCATCTGTTTTTCTGGAAACTATCCTAAAGTACTGATAAATTGCATTTTTATATACTCACACCTGCTGCTGCTCAGTAGTAGTGTCTTCTCCATTTTCTGCATCTTCAGAAAAATTTTGGTTCACTGTCCTGGGCTTTAAATTTATTCCTGTTAAATTAAATCATCTTAGATGATTAAGTTCTCATGAACTCTCGACCATAAGTATGCCTGTCATTGTACTTGCTATATATTTGTGTGTGTGTACAGATGGACATATCTCTATATACATTTGACTTCTTGTCAAAGCTTTAAACTTTTGTATTTAAATATCTCCTAAACATCTCCACAGAGATGTCCCCCGTATCCAAATTCAAGTTCATCTAATTCCACACTAAATGCTGTTCCTCCTGTATTCTCTATAACCTTGATCACAGTATTATATACAGAACACCCCCACACACACCCTGTTTCAACCTAGAAACATGACAGCTACTTTTTTTTTTTTCTTTGGTTTCCATCCCTCAGATCCAGCCATTGAATCCAACTGATTTTACCTCATAATCTCTTTATTTCCATATCATGTCATCATTCTTTTCACTCATCACCTGTTTAGAGGAGATTTCTAATTGGCTTTCTTGCCACCAGGATTGTCATCCTAATTCCATCTTTCTTACCTACCATAAAAGTGATCTATCAAAAACACCAATCAGATTATGTAAAACTACTGCCTAAAGCCTTTCAGTAATTACAACTTATCCTAAAAGTGGTTGAAGTTAGCACAGTCCTAAGATTTAAATTTTTTTAGGCTTTTTCTTTTTAATTTTTTTTAAAGTGTATCACTTATTTTGAGAGAGAGAGAAAGCAGGAGTCAGAGAGAGAGGGAGAGAGAGAATCCCAAACAGGCTCCTCACTGTCAGTGCAGAGCCCAATGCGGGGCTCAAACTCACAAACTGTGAGATCATGACCTTAGCCAAAGTCAGATGCTTAACTGCCTGAGCCATTGAGCCGCCCCTTTTTTTTCTATAACTTGTAATTTCAAAATAATTTCAAGAATAGTATGAAGAACTGTATCCACCTAACTATATTTTCCCAACCCATTTTTTTGCAGACATTTTATTCCTAAACAACTTCAATATATATTTTCCAAGAACACCGTCTTACATTAAAATCAGGAAATTCAATTTTGATATACTATTTTATATAGTACAGTTAAATTTTGCCAAATGTAGCAGTAATGTCCTTTAGAGCAAAAATTCTCCCTGATTCAGGGTCACAAAGTGCATTTAAATGCCACATCCCTGTATTCTCTTTCAGTTTGGAACAGCCACTCAGCCTTTCTTTGTCATTCACAACCCTGGCATTTTTGAAGATCATAGCCCAGCTGTCTTATAGGATGTTTGGGTTTAAAGGTTTAGTGTACACGAGAATTACCTGGGGAGCTTATGGAAACCTGAGCTTCTCATTCCAAGCTGGGCTTGTTGTCAGCCCCTTAATCTACATTTTTTATAAGGTACTTCAGGTAATTCTCATGTTGGCGATTTGCAGACCATATGTTGCAACTCACCACTTAGGAAACTGTAAGTGAGAGGTGGTGAAAGACCAAGTAGTTAGGACCTAGCCCATCCAACCCTTATTCATCCTGACAAATTTCTTTCTTTCAATAATGTTCTGTTCATTCAAAAGATGTTCTGACAACCACTAGCTACAGCATAGAAACCAAGTTCTAGAGCATGATGTACAAGATGTGCTGGCTCCTGACTGCCTCTCCAGTTTTCCCCCTTGCCATTCTCCGCCTTTTACTTCAGACCTCAGCAAAGATGATCTTGTAACCTCAAAGTCAGTCTTACCTCTTTGCCTTTGCTCATGGTATCTTCTCACTGAAACTTAATTCTCCCTTTCTTCAACTATGTTAGCTACTCATCACTTAAAGAATAGGTATAAATTTTAGTAAGACTCCTATACAGTTTATTACAGTAAGAGTTAGATAAATTCATAACGATTTTTACAAACTGCTCTGATTGTTCAAAGAAGAGGATCCAGCCTAGAAATCTCAGGGCATGTTTTCTTGAAGAAATTGATACTTAAATTATGATGCAGTCTTAAGTGACAAGTTAGACATTTAGAGAACAGAGAGAGTCCCGCCTTGATTTCTTCAAAAAAAATTGTTGTCAATGGTTTTATGACCTTCTGTGTAAATTCTGTCCTTACATGAGACATAGTATGTCTGGAAATAACTCATTCAGAACCTTTTGATTTCTGTCATCTCTTACCAATATTTATTCTCCCCTTTCTAGAGAGAATAAAACTCTATTTGATAGAAAAGACAGAAGCAACTTAAGAGCTGAGGGATTCTACTCACTGTCATCCATCAGGATGATGATTATTAAAATAATCCCAGCAAAACAGGGGCCCCTGGTTGGCTCAGTCAGTTGAGCATCCAACTTCAGCTCAAGTCATGATCTCACAGTTTGTGAGTTTGAGCCCCAGGTCAGGCTCTGTGCTGACATCTCAGAGCCTGGAGCCTGCTTCAGATTCTGTCTCCCTCTCTCTCTGCCCCTCCCCCACTCATGCTGTGTTTCTCTGTCTTAATAATAAATAAACATTAAAAAAAATTTTTTAATAATCCCAGAACAGATTTAAAAGTTCTGTGATAGCTATATTAAGAATGAAGACCTAAGTAAAATTTACATCTTTTTTATAAGTTTTTTTAAGTTTGTTTATTTTGAGAGAGAGAGAGCAAACAAGCAGGGGAGGGACAGAGGGATGGATAGAGAGAGAGAATCCAAAGCAGGCTCCACACCATCAGCACAGAGCCCATTGTGGGGCTCAAACCCATGAACTGTGAGATCTTGACCTGAGCCAAAATCATGAGTCAGAGGCCTAAGTGATTGACCCACCCAGATACCTGGATTAAAATTTGCATCTTGTTGTCAATATCTTAACTTACTTGATACTTTAATCTTCCTGACACTAGTCTTCTATGTCTTAGCCACTCTTTTAAAATCAGTCTTTGTTAAAAAAAAAATCTCCTTTCCATCTTTGTTCATGTTTTTTAAAAAACCTGATGATTATCTGCTTCCCAGAAGTTTGTTATACTAGTCAAAGATTGTACTAGATACTATGATACAGTGGGAAATATAGTCTGTTCTCAAGAAGCAGAAAGTGACAAATAGATAAAGAGACAAAAGAAATATAATAGGATAAATGTTACTTGCTTAGTTGTAGGATTACATAGGAGCTGTTTGGGGACAGGACTGTATGAGAGAAAGTTTCTCAAGAAAGTAATTGTTAGGATTCCAGGGGCCAAATAAATACCATTTTTCTTTACCAAGATCTGAATCTATTAAGGATTAAGACAAAAAAGATAAAATATTAGCAAATTGAATCCTACAACATATTAAAAGGATTATGCACAATGACCAAATAGAATTTATCCAAGAAATGCAAGACTGATTTAACGTACGAAAATTAAAGAATGTAAATTTCTCGGGAAGACGGGAGTAGGTAGACCTATGATCACCGCATCTCATGGATATAACTAGGTAACACTCACATCAGCGTAAATAACCCAGAAAAGAACCCAAAGACTCTCACAACAGATGCTTCATAGCTAAGTGTAGAGGAGAGGACATATCGAAGAGGGAAGGAAAGGCAGAGACAAGGTCAGGAGCTAAATGGACTGGTGGGACTAATCGCTGTAGGGTGGAATGCCACAAATGTAGAAAGGAGAGAGGCACCCCAGGCCTTGAGAAGCTACAAAAAAACCAAGAGGGCCATAATTATGCAAGTTCTTATAATCAGTGGAGCTTAATACCTGGAACTTTAAAAATCAGTGGACTCAACTCTAGCAGAGCCAGGAGGGCAAGGAACTCGGTCCCAACCCTTAAGAGACAGCACAAGAGCCTTACCGAGATACAGCATAAAGTAGCAGTTTGAAAAAATGCATGGGGTATATGGGAAGGAAATCTGTTTACTCATCCCAGAGCATGTGCTGGAGGGACAAGGATCTTTGCGAGACTTCTCCAAGAATAAAAGAGCTGGTGGGTGCCATTTCCTTCCCCCCACCTCCCAGCCTAGACGCATGGACACCTGTGGGAAAGAGTATAGTGCCAGCAGTCACCACATAACTTGCTGACAATGTGCCCCACCCCCACATTCTCCTCCAAACACAGCCCTCCAACCAGGCGTCAGCTCTAGGTTGTCTCCCACAGCAGACCTGCATAAACCTTGCTGACACCACATGAGCTGCCCCTGCATTCTCCTCCAATACACTATTGACAGGAACCCACCTAACGCAGTGCTACCAGCCTGAAAGGGTGTGTGCAGTCATGACAGAGACCAGCACCGCTCAGAAGTGACCCCTACCCAGGGGAGATTGGCAAATAAGCACACACACCAGTCCAACTGCCGTTCTAGCAGTGGGCGGGGGGCAGACATATAGTCTTACAACAAGGGCCCACCCACCAGTCAAAGCTTCTTAGAGGACAACACAGGGAAAGTGCCCAGCAGTTTGGTGCTACAGTATCTCTGGCAATTGCCTTATCTGACTCCAACTCAAGCCCAGCGCACCTCAGACTGACACACTAACAACATGGTAAAAACAATGGAACAAAACTCTACCCACAATAGGCAAAGAAGGCAAAGCAGATGACAAGAGGCAAAAGTGGCTCAACCACAACAGTAGGGTGAACAAAACACAAATATCTACCCCTCAAGCACCAGGTTCTGGTGAACAGGGAACACTGCACTGCCTCTTCTTAATAGGACACTACTTTCAAGACCAGGAGATGTAGCTGACTTTCCTAACACAGAGAAATAGACACAGAGAAATATGTTCCAAATGAAAGCATAGGACAAAGTCACAGCAAGAGAGCTAAACAAAATGGAGATAGATAAATGCCTGATAGAGAACTTAAAGTAATGGTTACAAAGATACTCACTGGACTTGTGAAAAAAAAGTGGAGGGACCTCAGTGATGCCCTCAACGAAGAGATGGAAAAGCAACCAGAGATGAGGAACTCAACTGAAGTTAAAAATACACTAGGTGGAATAAATAGACTAGAGGAAGCAGCAGAATGGATCAGAGACCTGGAGAACAGAGTAATGGAAAGCAATCAAGCTGAATAGAAGAGAGAAACATAATAAAAATTGAAATTAGACTAAACTCAATGACACCATCAAGCATGATAACATTTGCATTATAGGGATCCTGACAGGAGAAGAGAGAGGAATGGGAGCAGAAAATGTATTTGAAGAAATAGCTGAAAACTTCCTGAATCTGGGGAAGTGAACAGAAATCTAGGTACAGGAGGCAAAGAAAGACCCCAACAAAATCAACCCAAGGAGGTCCACCCCAAGACATAGTAATTAAAATGGCACAAAGTAGCGAAAACAAGAGAATTTTAAAAGTGACAAGAGGGATACCTGGGTGGCTCAGTCTGTTGAGTGTCTGAGTTCAGTTCAGGTCATGATCTCATGGTTTCTGAGTTTAAGCCCCATCTTGGGTTCTGTGCTGACAGCTCACAGCCCAGAGCCTGCTTTGGATTCTGTCTCCCTCTCTCTCTGCCCCTCACCTGCTCACACTCTGTTCTGTCTCTCAAAAATGAATAGACATTAAAAATTCTTTTAAATAAATAAATTAAAAGGAACAAAAGAAAACAGTTACATACAAAGGAAACCCCATAAGGCTATCAACTGATTTTTCAGCAGACACTTTGCAGGCCAGAAGGGAGAGGGAAAATATATTCAAAATGCTGAAAGACAAAAATAATATTCTAGCAGCCAGTTATATTTTACCCAGCAAGGCTATCATTCAGAATAGAGGGAAAGATAGTTTCCCAGACAAAGAATAGTTAACCAGCCTTTAAGAAATACTAAAAGGGAGTCTTTGAAGGGAAGGAAAGACTATAAGCAGGAGTGAGAAAAATAGGAAGTACAAAATAAAATTAAGTATAAGTATAAAAATCAAAGATTTCAGGGGCTCCTGGGTGGCTCAGTTGGTTAAGTGGCCGACTTCAGCTCAGGTCATGATCTCACAGTTCATGGGTTCAAGCTCCGCTTCGGGCTCTGTGCTGACAGCTCAGAGCCAGGAGCCCGCTTCAGATTCTGTGTCTCCCTCTCTCTCTGTCCCTCCCCCACTCAAACTGTGTCTCTCTCTCCCTCAAAACTAAATAAACATTTTAAAATATTTTTTAAATCAAAGATTTCACTAAATAAAAGAATGTAAAATATACCATATGCCGAAAATGGGGGGAAAGGAGTAAAGAATGGGTTCAAAATTAGGCAGCCATCAGTTTCATATAGGCTGCTATATATATAAGATTTTATATACACAACTATTGGTAACCACAAATAAAAAATCTGTGATATGCAAAAAATAAAACAGAATCCAGGTATATTACTAAAGAAAGCCAGCAAACCATCAGGGAAGAGAGCAAGAGAAGAAAGGAACAAATAAGAACTACAGAATCAACCATAAGTCAAGTAGCAAAATGGCAATAAGTATATACCTATCAATAATTATTTTGAATGTAAATGCTCCAATCAGAAGACAAAGGGTGACAGAATGGTTGAAAAAGCAAGACTCATCCGTATGCTGCCTACAAGAGACAGTTTCAGACCTAAAGACACATGCACACTGAAAGTGAAGAAATGAAAAAACATTTATCATGTAAGTGAAGAAAGCTGGGATAGTAATACATATATCAGAAGAAAATAGACTTTAAAACAAAGACTGTAAGAAGAGTCAAAGAAGGACACTGTGTAATCATCAAGGGGAAAATCCAGCAAGATTTAACAACTCTAAATATTTATTCACCCAACATGGAAGCACCCAAATATATAAAGCTGTGGGTAACAAAGTAATCAATAGTAATACAGTAACAGTAGAGGACTTGAACACCCAACTTACATCAGTGGATAGATCATTCAACAGAAAATCAACAAAAACACAGTGGCTTTGGATTACACGTTGGCCCAGATGGATCTAACATATATTCAGAACATTCCATTCTAAAACAACAGAATATACATTCTTTTGAGTATACATGGGACAGTCTCCAGAACAGATCACATATTAGGCCACAAAACAAATCTCAACAAATTAAAAAAGATTGAAGTCATACCATGCATTTTTTCCAACCACAACGCAATGAAACTAAAAAGCAACCTCAAGGAAAAAATCTGGAAAGAACACAAATACATGGAACTTAAATAACATGCTACTAAACAATTAACGGGTCAGCCAAGCAATCAAAGAGGAAATTAAAAATATATATACATATGGGAACAGGGGCATCTAGATGGCTTGGTTGGTTGAACGACCAACTCCTGATTTTGGCTCAGGTTGTGGGATTGAGCCCTGCATCAGACTTCATGCTAGGCAGGAAGCCTGTGTGGGATTCTCTCTCCCTCTGCCCCTCTCCTCAGCCTGCTCACTTTCTAATTATATGGAGACATAGGAATATGAAAACACAATTTTCCAAAATCTTTGGGATTCAGCAAAAGCTGTTCTAAGAGGGAAGTTTATAGCAATATAGGCCTACTTCAAGAAGAAAAATCTCAAATAAATAATCTAAACTTATACCTAAAGGAGCTGGAAAGAATAACAAAACCAAACCCAAAACCGGTAGAAGGAAGGATTAATAGTAAACATTAGAGCATGAATGAAATAGAAACTAAAATAACACATCAGTGTAACCAGAAGCTGGTTCTTTGAGATCAACAAAATTGAGAATACTTTAGCCAGTATTCTCATCAAAAGATATAGAGAGGACTCAAACAAAATCAGAAATGCCTTAGAAATACAAATCACTAGAAGACAATATAATGAAAAATTATATGCCCACAAATTGGGACAACCTAGAAGAGATACATTAATTCCTAGAAACCTATAACTTCCCAAAACTGAATCAGGAAGAAACAGATAATTTGAACAGATTGATTGCAAGCAGTGAAATTGAATCAGTAATCAAAAGACTCCTAACAAAAGTCCAGGAGCAGATGGTTTCACAGGTAAATTCTACCAAACATTTAAGGAAGAGTTAGTACTGACTCATCTCAAACTATTCCAAAAAAAATAGGAAGGAAAGCTTCCAGATTCGTTCTATGCAGCCAGCATTAAACTGATACCAAAACCAAATAAAGACACTACAAAAAAAGAGAATTACAGGCCAATATGTCTAGTAAACACAGATGCAGAAGTCCTCAGTAACATATTGGGAAACCAAATCCAACAACACATTTAAAAAAACATTCACCACAGTCAAGTGGGATTTATTTGTGGAATGCAAGGGTGGTTCAGTCTTCACAGATTAAACAATGTGATACATAAATAAGAGAAAGGATAAAAACTATATGATAACTTCAATAGATGCAGAAAAATCATTTGACAAAGCATAACAGCCATTCATGATAAAGACTCTCAATAAAGTAGGTTTAGAGGGAACGTAACTCCACATAATAAAGGTCATATACTTACTCAATGTTTAAAAACTGAGAGCTTTTCCCCGAAGGTCAGGCACAAGACAAGGACTCCCACTTCACCACTTTATTCAACATAGTACTGAAGTCCTAGCCACAACAAAAAGAAATAAAAGCATCCAAATTTATAAAGAAGTAAAGCTTTCACTATGTGCAGATGACATGATACTATACAAACAAAACGCTAAAGACTCCACAAAAAAATCTACTAAAACTGATTAACGAATTCAGTAAGGCCACAGGATACAAAATCAATATACAGAAATTGGTTGTATTTCTACTCACTAATAATGAACCAACAGAAATTAAAACAATCCCATATACAATTTCACCAAAAATAATAAAATATCTGGGAATAAATGTAATCGAAGTGAAAGACCTGTACTCTGAAAACCATAAAATACTGATGAAAGAAATTGAAGATGACACAAATGGAAAGATATTCCATGATCATGGGTTGGGATAACAAATATGGTTAAAATGCCTACATTACCCAAACCAATCCACAGATTTAATACAATCCCTATCAAAATACTAACAGCATTTTTTATAGAACCAGAACAAGTAACACTAAAATTTGTGTGAAACCCCAAAAGACCCTAAATAGCCAAAGCAATCTTGAAAAAGAATAAAAGTGAAGATATCACAATTCCAGATATCAAGATATACTACAAAGCTATAGTAAACAGTATGGCCAAGAATAGAGACATAAATCAATAGAGCATAATAGAGAACCCTGAAATAAACCCTCGAATATTTTGTCAATTAAACTTCAACAATGGGGGTAAGAATATGCAATGAGAAAAAGGCAGTCTCTTCAACAAATGGTTCTGGGAAAACTGGATAGCTGCCTGCAAAAGAATGAAACTGTGCCACTTTCGTATACCACACAGAAAAATACACTCTAGATGGATTAAGGACTTAAATGTGAAAACTGAAACCATAGAAAGTCCAAACTAAGAAAGCATAAAAAGTCTACACTAAAAAAGCATGGGAGAACTGAAACCACTAAAAGTCTACATTATGAAAGTCTACACTAAGAAAGACACTGGCCATGGCAACAGTTTTCTAGATATGTCTCCCAAGGCAAGGGAAGCAAAATCAAAAATAAACTATTAAGACTACATCAAAATAAAAGCTTTTGCACAGCAAAGGAAAGAGTCCACAAAACTAAAAGATAATCTTCTGAAGGGGAGAAAGTATTTGCAAGTGGCATATCCCATAAGAGGTTAGTATCCAAAATATATGAAGTATAAAGAACTGATACAACTCAACACCCACAAAACGAATATCCAATTAAAAACTGGGCAGAAGACATGAACAGACATTTCTCCAACAAAGACATATAGATGGCCAACAGACACATGAAAAGATGCTCAACATCACTCATCAGGGAAATGCAAGTCAAAACCACAGTGAGCCATCCCCTCTTATGTCAGAATGGCTAAAATCAATATGAGAAAAAAACAGGTATTGACAAGGATGTGGAGAAAAGGGAAACCCTCATGCACTGTTGGTGGGAATCCAACCTGCTGCAGCCACTGTGGAAAACAGTGTGGAGATTCAAAAATGAAAAAGAGAATTAACCATACCCTCCAGTAATCCCACTATGGGGTATTTACCCAAAGAATATGAAAACACTAATTCGAAAAGATATGTGCACCCGTTTATTGCAGCATTATTTACAATTGGCAATATATGGAAGCAACCCAAACATCCATCAACAGATGAATGGATAAAGAAGATACGGTGTATGTGTGTGTTATGTGTATATGTGTGTGTATTATATATTAGCCATCAACAAGAATGAAATCTTGTCATTTGCAACAACATGGATGGAGATGGAGAGTATAATGCTAAATGAAATAAGTCAGAGAAAGACAAATACTATATGATTTCACTAACATGTTCAACCTAAGAAATAGACGAAGAAAAGATTTTTTAAAAAACAGATTCTTAAATATGAAGAACTGATGGTTATAGAAGGGAGGGATGGGGGACGGGCGATATAGGTGAAAGGGATTAAGATTACACTTATGAGGAGCACTTACTAATGTATAGAATTGTTGGATTACTATTATACACCTGAAACTAATGTAATTCTGTATGTTAAGTATACTGGACTTAAATACAATTTTTTTTTTAAAAAAGAAAACTGTGATTAATGTTAAGAGCTCTAATGGCAAAAGTAACCAACATGTAAGAACAGATGGGCAATATAAGCAAAGATCTGGAAGCATTTGAGAAAGAATCTAAATGAAATGCTAAAAACAAAAAACACTAACAAAAATGAAAAATGCCTTTGATGTCCTCATCAGTAGGAGACTGGACACAGTCAAGAATCAGTGAGCTTGAGGAGAAGACCAGTTAGATAAGACCAGCTCCCAAACTGAAATGCAAAGAGGAACATGGAGGGGAAAAACAAAGAGAATATCAAAGGTCAGTGGGACAATTTTAAAACATGTGTAATACACATAATTGGAATACCAGGAAGCGAGGAAACAGAACAGGAGCACAGAAAACAGAAATATTTGTATTGTTAGTGTGTTGTCCAAATATAAACTATACTTTGCTCATGTATCTGCATGCTTGGCAGTGAAAAGGTAAAATCTGGCAAATTTCCTTCCATGTATAAACTTCTTACCAAAGAAAATGAAAAGATCTTACCGTCTAAAATGTCTTGCACACCTTATACTAAACAATAATGTGATTTTTCTATCCTATGATATTGAGGCTTTCATAACAAAAGGTTTTGGTCACTTTTTAGCTTCCTCGAAACTTGCAGAAACACTTAATGAGATCTTTTTACTTTAGAGAATGCAAGGAAGATAGCCTCCTGTGCCTACAAGATGTCTATCATTGTTGTCTGACAATGTTGGTCTGCCAATAAATCAAAGGTGTCACCAGGAAGGGGCAGCCAAATTAAACAGCCATGAAAACTAATTTATTTGAAATCCACCTTAAGTTCAGATTACCTCTGTGCTTTAACAAACATTTTCCCTTCAGGTACCTGGGTAGCTCACTCAGGCATCCAACACTTGATTTTGGTCATGATCTCATGGTTCATGGGATCAAGCCCCATGTCAGGCTCTGTGCTGATAGCACGGAGCCTGCTTGGGATTCTCTCTCTGCCCCTCCCCCAGTTTCTCTCTCTCTCTCAAAATAAATATCAAAATCCACACCCAAAAAACAAATAATCCAGTGAAGAAATGGGCAAAAGACATGAACAATTTTTCAAAGAAGACATCCAGATGGCTAACAGACACATGAAAAGATGCTCAACATCACTCATCATCAGGGAAGTACAAATCAAAACCACAATGAGATACCACCTCATACCTGTCAGGATGGCTAAAATTAATAACTCAGGAAACAACAGATGCTAGCAAGAATGCAGAGAAAGAGGAACACTTTTGCACTGCTAGTGGGAAAGCAAACTGGTACAGCCACTCTGGAAAACAGTATGGAGCTTCGTCAAAAAATTAAAAATGGAACTACCCTAAGACCCAGCAATTGCACTATTAGGTATACAAACATACAAAAAATTCTGATTCGAAGCACCCCCAATGTTTGTAGCATGCATCCCCAATGTTTGTAGCAGCGCTATCAACAATAGCCAAATTATGGAAAGAGTCCAAATGTCCATCAAATGATGAATGGATAAAGAAGATGTGGTTTATATATACAATGGACTATTACTCAGCAATCAAAAAGGATGAAATCTTGCCATTTGCAACATGGATGGAACTAGAGGGTATTATATCCAATAAGGGTATTATGCTAAGCAAAGTAAGTCAAAGAAAGAAAATTGCCATATGATTTCACTCATATGTGGAATTTAAGAAACAAAACAGATGAACATAGGGAAAGAGAAGGAAAAATAAGATAAAAACAGAGAGGGAGGCAAACCATAAGAGATTCTTAAATACAGAGAATAAACTAAGGGTTATGGGAGGGGTGGACTAAATGGGTGATGGGCATTAAAGAGGGCACTTGTTGGGATGAGCACTGAGTGTTCTGTGTAAGTGATGAATCACTAAATTCACTCCTGAAATCATTATTACACTATATGTTAACTAACTTGGATTTAAATATTTTAAAAATGTTTAAACAATAAAATTTTTAAAAATACTACACATTTCCCCAAGTTTAATTTATGGTGACATGTGCTGCGCTTTTGTGCCTAAAAACAATGGACATTTCAGATAATAAGTGGATTTTTGTAGAGCTGGAAAATAATTCCTTACAAGTTGAAAAACCTGCTGTTGCTAGTAAGTAAAATCATGTTCCATGCTCAAACTCCACTGTTGACGGGGCTATCTAATTTGATGTCATTGCACTGGATTGCCACCAGGGACTAGTGTTAAGTGGGCTTGATAAGAGGAGACCTGCAAGTCAGAGAGAACCTGACTTTGAATGCATTCAGTGTTACCACTACACAGAAGAAAAGAGGAACATCCTGAAGGCTGCCGGCAGTCAGAGAGTATTGTCAGAAAAGGAAATACATATTATCAGAAAAGGCAAAAATACTCTATCATGGGACATAACCATAGCATTAATTTTTATTAAATATAGGAAATATCTATTAGCCTCATTATATTGACATTCAACTTCTAAAAGTCAATATTTATGTGTCTTATGAATACATAATAACAGGGGGAGGCAAGATGGCGGAGAAGTGGGGAGCTCCGTACATCTCACTCGCCCCCATCTCTCACACGGAGAAGACCTGAAGCCATAGGAACCCCTACAGAATCCAGGAGTTTGTGAGGAGAAGGAGACAGAGTCCACTGAGCAAACCTTCTAGCATGAGTGCGAACTGGGGAAGATAAAATCGGGCCGGGATCAGAGACACGGAGGGGTGGGTCCCCCTATGCGGGGAGCCACAGTGAGTCTAGGGGGGGAAAAAAAGAGTGGCCAAAACTGCTCAAGACACTGTCCCTGTCACTGGAGAAGAGAAAAATCTCTACCCGGGACACAGAGGGACCCAGTTTCCTGCTGTCCAGCTGACCCTAGGCGGGACGCACTGGTCCCAGGCGACCCCGGGTGAAACGGCTCCTAGCTCGCCAGCCCGACCTGGAGGAAACGGG